TCAGTGGCAAATCCTTTAAATATGAAAGCGTACTTACAGGCTGTGAGTCAGCATTATTTGTCAGCATCATAGACTGTGGTCAGCATGCGCGCCGAAGGGGAAACAGGGGAACTGAATTCACCGGAACACCGGCATTGTAGGCTACTCTCCCAGGATCAGGAAACAGTCCTCCATAAAATGTGCTGCACACATCTGAATATTTGGGTTGAACTGTTCTGGAACAGTGTTGTAAATACAACTTAACCACTGATTTCTAGTCCTGTCCTCTTTTGGAAGGCCAAGTATTTTCGCTTTCGCAACGAAACACACAGCGTCTTCACAACATGGCGGCGGCGGTGGCAGCAACAATAAAGTTACGCCTTTTTTCTTTGCATGAACATTTGGGCGGTGTTATGCAAATCTTCCCACACAGTGACGTAGACATGTGGGGGCATGTTTAAACGAGCCGTTTTAGGAGGGCGTGGACGAGTCTTAACTTTTATAAAGAATATCTCTTTGGGTTTGAGACTTTAGTCTTTGCAACTGTAGGGATCTTATCTATTCACGAACAGCTTGTAACTCCAAAGAGAAAGGAAAACTTGAAATCGCATCATATGACCCCTTTAACAACTGTCATTTGAATATGAGAACAGCCCCATTTTGTTGATTTGAGCAGAACATGTATTCTGACATGTTTTAAACACGCTTGCATGTACCAGCTTGTACAGTATTGCTATATTGACTATAGGGTTGGCAAGATATTCTAATATTTTGAAAGAAATACCTTATTAGGCTGCTGCATTTGTTTGATCAAAAATACAGTAAAAATAGTAATATTGTGAAATATTATTGCAATTTAAAATAATTAATAATCTATTTTATATTTTAATATATTAACATTTCTTATTATTATCAATGTTGAAAACAGTTGCGCTGCTTAATTTAAATCTTTGAATACATCAGTTATCTTACTTTTGCACAACATCAGTAATAAATATAATAGTTATACTTATCACACTTATAATAATCTAATACTTTATGGTCTCTGTTATGTGTGTTTCCTTTTTTCCCATTAAGTAAATTGGTGTTTTTCTCAGTTCTTCCTTGCCGAAGGTCTCTGGACTTTCAGTACTGTGGTGTTAAGGTGGAGCTGAGTTTCTCTGCCCTGTTCTCCAATGTCCTGGTTGTGTTTGCTACAGTGAGGAACTCAAGCGCTATGGCCCAGGACTGCACTCTGATTCTTGAGAGTGAACCAGTAAGTCACAGCTTTTCATGTCCTCTTTCGCTGACATAACCACATACACACGCATACACGAGGGGGATATAAGAGTCAGGACGGAAAAGGAAAGAGGGTTGATTTCATAGTGTTTTGTACTTGAATTTGCTTCTTAAAGTTTCCCAAACTCATGAATGTATTATGGAGGAGGTTCATGCAGTGGCATTGAACATTAAAGCAAATAATAAAACAAAACAATTTTCACTCCCTTCCTGAGTCTGTTCTAGACAAAATATGTCTTATATTTTGTATTAAGCATTGCTCACCAACTCTCTCCAGTTGTAAAAGATTTTGCATAATTCATAACCGGTGTTATTTCAGGATTATTTGTATAATATTGTAGTATTTATTCATTTTTAATTAGATTTTTTAGATTTGAATTTGAATTTTAGCTTATGTTTTTAGTAATTGTATGTGCATTTTTTCATTATTTTTATTTATCTTTTATTTTTTAGTACTTTTGGTACTAAAGTGTAAAGTGTAGTAATTTTATGGACCCATAATGGGTGTGTGTATTCATATTAAAACAAGCAAACCTGAATGCTCTCAAAAGCTCAAATATATTTGTTTTGAATAGGCAAGTCAGTTTAAAATATAGCAAGATTTTAGGAAATTTTTCCTCTGATATACTATGTATTTAGCTACATTTTTATTTTCACAATAGATTACACATTTAATATTTAACATAAAAAATGTGATGCTCTACTGCAAATGTGAAGTTTAGGAAGTTCAGCATAAAGAAAGTAGGATGAAAACAAAACTGTGGATCTACTGACCTCCAGGGGTGAAAACATGTAATACGTCCTTGGGTATATTAACAGTTCGACATTCACTTTACCCTTATGGTACCTGCTTGTTCGATTACAATTTAAGTGGTGATGTGTTTTTGTTTTTAGCAAATGCAGGACATTTTCTCAGGTTCTGGTCGATCAGAAGAAATGGACAGTTTGCTTGTGAACAGTGGTGAAACTCCTGACTGCACCCTCAGATTATGTTGCCTTCAAAGACTTCAGGTACATTTAAGGAGTTTTTGTCTTTGGAAAGAAAAATAGTGTTATAGAACTGAAATGCATTTTAAAACATTGAGAACTGAAACACACATGATCAATTTAAAACAGTTGATTTGCAACTGGTAGATCACAGATAATAATAATAGGACAGCATATAATATGCAACTGATAAAATGCAACTTACTAAAAAGTAAAAGGGTTGTGAACTTGTAAAATAAAAAATGAAATAAAAGAACAAAACTATGCAAGGTAAAAGAAGACTACATTAAATATAAGTTGGAACAAGGATAAACAATGTTTTTGTGTTGACCACAAAGTATTTGGTGTGGTGGGACATTGAAAAACTAAACATATATGATATGATATTATATTATATTGTGCTATATTGTGTTATATTGTATTATGTTATATTATACTCATATATTTAAAGTTTTATTGCAGGAATATCATTGTTGCTGTTGAGAACCACTGATATAGTATAATGCATTATATGTGGAAGTCAGAAATACTGTTCAGAGACATTAAAGAATTGAAATGTATTCAAACTTCCTAGGGATCTCTGGTGATCAAAGTGACACTGCACTACACCCACACACAAACTAAAGAACGTCTCACTGAGAGCAAACAGCTGGACATAGGCAGGCCTCTCATTGCCTCCTGCAAGCTGAATCAGATGAGGCCAGTGGACAGGAGACAAGAGAGCCGTGTCCATACTGTGGACCACATGTCCAACATAAGATATCCTCATCATCAGAACCATCCTCGACCTGGTCGGCCCTACACACGCAAGGCTGAGAACCGATTACAGAGTTCAGCCAAATCCACCTCCATGAGCAGCAATGAACCAGAGGAGAATGATGAAAATGACTAATGAATTCACTATGTGATGCTGCGTCCCTATACACACACACAGTAAGGCATTGTTTTGATGCAACAAAGGATTTTTCTTACATTAATTGTTTACTTTTTGCTTACTAATTACCAGTTGCGATACAGTAAATGTGTGTGTGTGTGTGAGAGAGAGCAACGAAAGGAAGATGTTCTCATGCAAATGTAGAAATATTTATACAAATTATTTGCAAATCAAATTAAGTGTAATTTTCTTATATAACCAATAAAGTACTACTTCTGTAGTTTTCCTGTGTGATGAAATTTCATATTCAAATGCAGTTATTGACATTAAGATATTCTATATTCATAGAAAAATGAATAATAGAAGATACAGCTACATTTCTATGATTTGTTTTATGAAAATATGGAAAATCAGGAGGTATTTTGGATTAGGCCATAAATTCTTTTTTATTTTAACAATTAATATTTACAGGTATTTTAAATTTAAGTCATATCACATTTACAGATAATTTAAAATTAAGGTTGCATGAAACTTAAATGCATAAAATTATAGATTAAATTGATGCAAAATGTTAATTCAAAAAGATATGTATGTAAAAGATATGTTAAACGATATGTTTATTCAAAAAGATTACCTTTTTTATTCAATACCAGAAGAACACAGACAAAAGATATATACAGTAACATTAATACATTAATATTATAGTCACATTATATTTTATATTCATTTACTTTTACATTAGTGCATTTTCAGTGTTTTTTTGTTTGTTTTCATTTATGTGAAAATATGATTAATTTAGATTAATTTATTAAATGAGAAATTTTAGCAAAAAAATACAAAAATGTCATTAAAAAAAGAAAGAAATCCTGAACATGCCAATATAATTTTCTAAATCATTTAAAAAGTAATTTGAATAGATATTTAAACACATTAGTAGCCTAAATGTTTCATTTTCATGTATATCTTTTCGATACATGTTTAGCCAGGCATATGCAATATTTTGTAAGATACTTCTTTGATGTTGTTATTGATAGGCTAGGCTACTAAGTCATTCTGCCAAATGAAGAAAAAAAATATTGCTCCAGGAAATTAATCGGAGTATAGAGTATTCCTTACAACCTTACTACTACCTTTGTCCATCATCTTATTGGACAACAATAACCTCCAAATACTCAGCAGCACCCCGATCTTTCATTGTCCATTTCAAACGCGTCCTTATTGGGAGATCTTAACCATTGGCTCGAAGGAGTGTCAATCAGCTTCTGTGGTCCCGCCCTCTTGCTCAAATATCAAGCGGTGAATGGTCAACAGTCGGGCTGCTACTGTCTGCTCGTAACCACAGCGACTTAATCTGGACCTGGATGCGTGCTGGAGGAACCTGTTCGCAATAACAGAAAATAAAACACTCACCCGAACATCTGATCAAAGATGCTGTCGGCTTCGGTTAACACGTTTCACCTGGGCGACCGGAGAGTTTGGTCGATGTGACATTGCTTGAGCTTTTTGTTCTGGTCCCGGACGCAGAGCAGCGATCGCGCTTTGAGAAGATGTTGAGTCGGCTGATGAGTGGCAGCGTCAGAAACCTGGAGCGAGAATACTTGTGTACGGTCAGGCTGCTGGATGATACGGAGTATACCTGCACCATTCAGGTCAGTTCTCACCAGCGGCACCTGTGCTGCCGAAAATCAGCGATCAGCAGACCTTTTGTTGCAGGCTGGGAGAAGCGTGCGCAGTGGGTTTTAATAGCAGGTGCCAGCAGCATCCCCCCTAAAACCAGCTCCTTAGAAAATCCTGCAACGCCCGTTTGATTAGGAAGAGTCTTCGCTTGTAAAGGCAGTTCAGATTATGTTTGGTCTCAGATTGTTTTTGGATGGAGTGGGCTTGTTTTGCTCTGGATTCCCATCAATCAGAACACAACACTGAAGTGCTGCTGCTGCTATACTGGAATGTAAATGTTGTAGTTAGCATCTGGTTTGTTTATTTAAATAGCTTTGCGTATTTTAAACTAGCAATTTCTTCTCTATAAGCACTTTTTTTTTCGACCCATAACGGGTGACTTCAGGATGTTTTAGGAGCATCCATGGTGATGTTTTGGTGTAAAGGAACAGTGCACCCAAAACTAAAAAGTCTTTTGGCTTTTTTTCTGATATGTAACAAAAGGATATGTTAATGACAGCTTCAGGGAAAAAAGAAAAAGAAAAAAAAAAACACATTGAAAACAAATGCATTCTGCGCACCACGGATGGCAGATTTTTCATTTTCGGGTGAATAGTTCCTTTAACTTTTGCATGGGCATCACATGTAGCACTCTTGGATTGGGTGTCTGTAGTAAACATGTCAGGACCGACTCTAGAGAATCAATATATTCAATGCACGTGTCCCCTTAACAGTTTATTGTAAAAATCGACGCGTTTCAAAAAGGCGGGGCATAGAGGAGAAACAATAATGTACAGTATGTGGAAAATAATGTTTTTTTTACTTTAAACCGCATAAACACATTTCATTACACCAAATACACAAAATAATGTTCTTTTTAGCAACATCATGTGACCCCTTTTAATAAACCAATCAGCTTGAATTACCAAAATCTGTTTTTTACTTTAAAATGTACTGATAATCACCATAATGATACAGGTTGTAAACCAGAAAGCCACTTGATGAATCAGAGTTCACTGTACATAAAACATGACAAATTCTCACATATAGATACAAACAAAGACAAAACACCATGAGGGTAACATACATGACACTAAATAATGCAACTAAATAACAAAAACGTAACAAAAATGCCCTAAGGTACATTACGGTACAAAAATAAGAAGACAGGTTTTTTTAGTATTACATGTTATTTTTTTTTACACTTTTAGGGGAAGGTAACCAGTTAACAGGTTTTTACTTTAGCATATAATCTCTTCCTATAAAAAAACGTTTTTTAAAGTAAAAAAAAATATTATTTTAATGATTTTTTTGGTAAAAATATATATATTTTTCTCAATTGGCCATTTAACAACTAACAATTAATAAATGTCGGTCTTGCCAATAAATGCGCACTGTTTTCAAATATTTAAAATATAATTATTGGGCTATATTATATATTATATCATTTTTTTAAATTAAAAATGAAATCCAACATGTTGAATTTAGGATGTGTACATCATATTTGCTCTCATTAAATTATATTATAAATATGTTGGTATTGTATCATGCATTATTGTGCTTTCTAAAAAATATTATCAGCATCAGCACTACTAAGTAAATAGTAAAAGTTATTCTATGGTATTTGTGAGTGCTAATTGTAGCCGGGCTGTGCGTGTCTGTAGAGAGTGCCAGGCAGGGAGGTGAGCAGCAGGGCTGATATGGAGCTGGAGTCGGTCCAGTGCAGCCAGCAGCAGGTGTGCCGTGTGCAGCAATGCTGTGTTGTTTGGCACGGTGACGTAATGGAGGAGAGACTGTGACAGAGCAGCCTGCCAGCTTTCTCTCTCTCTCTCTCTCTCTCTCTCTCTCTGTGGCCGGGGAATAATCCAAACTCTCTAGCTTGGCAGCAGAGGTTGAGAGTGCACAGTCATTGTTTAACGTCCTTTCTGCCCTCCGCTGGTCCCTATATACTGGTTTCAGGCCTGCCAGCTAGGCCTCAGGGTTCCAGGACACCTAGACCGGGGAAAGAGCAAGTGAAAGGCTGAACTAGGTCACCCTTTTATTCTCTCCCTCACTCCCTCCCTCTTTACCCCAAATATCTTGTTCCCACTATGCTGAGATTCACTCACTCCAGGAAGTGCTTTCATCACCAGCAGATAGTTTCCTTTAAAGCTCCCCAGTGGCTTCAGACCTGCTTGTGAATTGGCCTAGCTTGCGTTTTTCGTTTGACGATCACCAAACACACTGTTCGTGTGTCGTAGCAGCTTGGTGGAAATTTGGTTCCCTTAACATGTTGCTAATGTGCTTTACAACACGCAACTCCTGTTTCGATGCCGGAATGATTGTGAAACTGAAGGTGTGATATGCGGAAATCTGTAAGACACCGTTAAATGTGTTAAGTGTAGCACGTTGCAGCTAATGTGAAACTCAGAAATGCGGCTGTACAAACTTTGTAATGAGTTTATTTGTGTTACAAATCTCCTGTACTCGGGCTACATTTTAAAGGGATAGTTCACCTGAAAATGAATAAAATTCTTATACTCATCCTCATGTCTTTCTTAAAACATTTCATTTTCTGTTTTCTGTCAAGTCCATCAGAATGTTTCCATACAGTGAAAGCGAATGGTGACCAGGGGTTGTCAGATTTAAAAAATGACAATAAAGCACCTTAAAAGTACCATGACAATAATTCTCTTGTACTACGTTCCAAGAAAGACGATATCGGAAAAAAGCTGGCATTGCACATTTTTCTGTTATATACAGTATATGAAACAGAAATTTTCACCAGATGACATGAATAGCTATATTTGGAAATAATTATTATTAGAAATTGAAAAATGAGTATAACCATACCATTTACCATTTTTCAGTAAAAGTGTATAAAGGTGTAAAAAAAAAACTTTCCACTTGAATTTTCATAGGCATTATTTCCACTATTTATGACTTGTTCATTATGACTATAAAATTGGAATGATTTTTGTTGTGATTATTATTAAATAAAAATATTAAACAAAATAAGAATTATATTGCAATTTTGTAAATGGAAATATTTGATAAAAAAATCATAGTGTAACTGTACAATTTCAGTATTAATATTTATGTCTTAAAGGGGTCATATGATGCGATTTCTATTTTTCCTTTTCTTTAGTGTGTTATGTAGCTATTTGTGCACATATAAGATCTACAGAGTTACAAAGCTCAAAGTCTCCCACAAAAGGATTTATTCTATCTAAAAGAGAAGGCTGATCAAGACTGGGCTAAAACGCCTCATTCAGACACGCCCCCACACATCTCTACGTCACGATGTGGAAATATTTGCGTAATGCCGCCCAAATGTTCATGCAAAGAAAGAAGGCGTGGTTTCAGGAACCGCAGTAGTGTTGATGCAGCCATGTCAGGGAGATGCTGTGTGTTTCTGTGCGAAAGCAAAAGCACTTTATTTAGCCTTCCGAAAGTAAATGCAATGAGGAATAGGGCTGTCAAAATGGCTGAAAAACGAAATTCGAATTTTTTACTTCAAGGCACAATATGTAAGATTTTTTTATTAAAATATCCAACAACCACTAGAACAGTGTTATATATTTTGCTGACTTGTGTACTTACATTATCCCAAATGTTTCGAAGAATGTTTAAATCCAGAGAAATAAGCAATTTTAACTAGTGACACGGAGCGTGTCCATAGTGTCATTGTGTCGCCTGCCAATGACGTCATAACCCCTCGATTTCCGGTTTTGTTTTGTAGAAAACATGGAAAAACCAAAGACGCTTTAATATG